GAGAGTATTCTTAGGCCAACACCAAGATGTAATTAACTACAGGGCTTGTGCCCGTGGGAAGCCGACACCAACATCAAATAAACCCTCTTGAGTTATTGTATCGAGTGGAGGAAATCTCGTGACTATTGAATTATATATAGTATTATTCAACAAAATGTGTAGGCGAAAGCCACTAATTTTCATGGATAATCATATGTAAAGGTCTACCACTGCACTATCCTATGAGATAATAGGATCGTACCCCTTACATTCTAACCCCACTAATAGCATCCTTTCAGAGACCCACAGGTACAACCTTTTGCAAATGTCTAGTGAGAACATTCATGACTAAAGCAAAAAAGATAAGGTTTTAAGGCTGATCTTTGATGTAATCTAATGGAAATAGGAAAATACTTGGTCAAACCACCTTGTGTTTGAATACAAGTAATAACTCATACTTATATATCCTTAATGACTTAAATATAAACATTAGTAACCCTTTTCTTTTCTAAAACTCTCCATAGCACTTCTCTTGGAACTTTATCATTTGATTTCTCTAAATCAATAAATATCATATGTAGATCCTCCTTATTCTCTTCATACTTCTCCATCAAACCTCTCAACGAATATATAGCTTCCATAGTAGACCTACCTAGCATGAATCAAAATTCCTTTTGAGAAACATTAGTATCACGCTGCAACCTATGCTCCATAACTCTCTCTCATAGTTTTAAAGTATGATACATTAACTTAATTAATCTATAATTCGCACAATCTTGTGCATCACCTTTATTCATAAAATTAAGAATCCATACACTCATTCTCCACTCATCTGACATCTTTTTAGTCTTCAAAATAATATTAAAAATTTTAATAAGCCAAGAAATTCTTTCATCTCCTAAGCATTTCCACATCTCTATTTAAATATCATCAGATTAAACAGCTTTTCCACACTTCATTTTCTTTAAAGTTTATAACTTCGATTTTACTAATATGTCAATAAAAATATAATTTTTTATTTTCATTTAGGGTGATAAGGTCACTAAACTCAATCGCATTCTCATAGTCTTTATTGAAAAGTTTAAAAAAAAGTATCTCAACCACCTTTATTGAATATACTCTTCTAATAAAAGTATTTTTTATCTTGATTTTTAATACACTTCACTTGAACTAAATCCTTACTACTCTTATCTTTTTGTTTGGCTAACTTATACAAATATCTTTCGCCCTTCTTAATATCTAATTTATTATATAAATTATTAAAAGCTAAAATCTATGCATCCCATATTGCTTTCTTAAGCTCCTTACGAGTCTCTTTATATATTTCTCAATTATCGGAATTTTTAAATCTAAACTAATTTTTATAACAATCTTCTTTTTTTCTTACATATTTTGATTCCACCACCAACTATTTTACTATTATCAACTTTTTCTTTATACTTTAAGAACATCTTTTACAACATTCTTAATATCATAGCTATTTTTTCTCACATAACCTTAGTTTCCATATGCACAGACAAAATCTAAAGATCTAGGATCTTATCCTCAAAAATAATTTTGTTAATATTTTTTAAATGTCCTCGTCTAATTCTATAACAATGTTTTAGTTTATTTTTTATTTTTTCCCCTTCATTTTAAATCAAAAACTAATAAGCAATATTGGGTACATAAACTTTTACTCGGAATAACTTAATCATCTTTGCAATCTAATCAATTTATTTTTACTATATACATTCTTATAAGTGATGAGATGTTCATCTTTTTTTAAATAAGGAATTAGCAATTACAAAATCATAAGGTAAAAAAAAATCTAATATGGTCTTATCGCCTTCATTAATCGTTACAAAAATTTTAATTTTAAACTCATATCCAAATTAATTATGGGAGCACAAGCACTTATAATATTAATAATCTTAACATCAACAATAATATTTAAAGCTTTAATTATATCGTCAATTATATTAATTTTTATAATTTTATTCTTTAAACTCCTATCTGTAATCACATCTACATTATTTCTAATACAACTCTTACAAGAATATCATAGTTTAAATACTAAATTATCAATCTCCTTAACATTTTCTTCAACCCATTTAATTTCTTGAATGCATAGAATATTTATATTCTTATGAATCATAATATCTACAACAACAACAACATCAAGCCTTTATCCCACTACGTGGGGTCGGCTACATGAATTCTTTTTCTCCATTGTGTCCTATTAAAAGTCAAATTCTCGTTTAAATCTAATAAAGAAAGGTCATTCCTAATATTTTTTAGCCAATTCTTTTTAGGTCTACCCCTACCTTTCTTAACATAAGTCAAATCTAATACCTCTACTCTCCTAACCGGGTCATCGGAAGGCCGCCGTTTTATGTGACCAAACCATCTAAGGCGACTCTCTCTAATCTTATCTTCTACTGGAGCTACTCCAACCTTTTCACGTATATGCTCATTTCGTATCTTATCTCTAAGGGTAAAGCCACTCATCCACCTGAGCATCCTCATCTCTGCCACACTTAACTTAGTATTATGCTTCTCTTTTAATTGCCAACATTCGGCACCATAAAGCATTGCAGGCCTCACTACCATCTTATAGAATTTTCCCTTAAGTTTGAGGGGTATATTTCTATCACATAACAAGCCCGATGCATTCCTCCACTTCAACCATCCAACTTGAATTCTGCTGATAATATCCCCATCTATTTCACCATCACTTTGAACAATAGATCCAAGATATCTAAAACGTGTACTCTTATTAATGACTTGTTTGCCCAAAGTCACAATCCCCTCACTAGGTCTATTACTACTAAAATTACACTCCATATATTCCGTTTTAGATCTACTCAAGTGAAAACCTTTAGACTCTAAGGTTGACCTCCATAATTCAAGTTTACCTTCAACTCCCTCTCTAGTCTTATCAACAAGAAGAATATCATCAAGAAAAAGCATACACCAAGGTACATCCTCTTGCAAATGTCTAGTGAGAACATCCATGACTAAAGCAAAAAGATATGGGCTTAAGGCTGATCCTTGATGTAACCCAACCGAAATAGAGAAATACTTGGTCCATCCACCTTGTGTTTGAATACAAGTAATAGCTCATGCATACATATCTTTAATGATTTGAAAATAAGCATTATTGACTCCTTTCTTTTCAAGAACTCTCCATAGCACTTCTCTTGGAACTTTATCATATGCTTTTTCTAAATCAATAAATATCATATATAGATCCTCCTTATTTTCTCTATATCTATATGATAAAATTTTATTAATTTGTCTGTAAGAGAACCTATATTCCATGTTCTTATTCTAATTTTAATTTCATGGACTAACTTCTTTATCCACATCCATCCATGATAAGGAAATCTTTGTCTATTTAACACTACACCCGAACGTCGGTGCAACGGTCCTTGCACATTTGTTACTGTATTCAGGTCATACAGTATGTCGCTTTCAAGAAACGCCCTAGCAATAACACAATGTATTAAAGGATTCATGTCATCATTATTCGACAAGTTTTATGCTGGTTGTCAACTACCTAATGCAACCTCCACTTTTCTCATCCAGGACTTGAGACCTAGCAACGGCAACATTACCTAAAGGTAACATAGTTTTTTTTTTTTTTTTAGAGTAACATAGTGAGAGAGAAAAAAACTTATTAGGTTTGAGCATATAAAGGTTGGAGATGTACCAATAGGGTATGGCCAAGGAATTATGTCAAGATTATAAACAAAGGCACATGAATCAAAGTTTTGTGGTAACACGTGCAAATCAAAGTTAACACTTTAGTTAGCACTCGATTATAATAACTTGAGGAAGGAGAATGATCCATAAAATTGACCCCAAATAGAATGTATAATGATGAGGAGGATGCTGGTGATGATTAGAGTAATGATAAAGTTGCAAGTAATATTTCATACAACTAAAGTACCTTAAAATCTCAAGTAATACATGATTAAAAGAAAAGTTTTTATGATTAACTAAGGTTCATATATTACAATTTTAAACAAAAAGGATGAGCAGACATCACCAACAGCTTTATTAAACACTCATGACTAGGAATTTTTATTGCGTCCTCCCACCTGACGCATCTTTACGTTTTCTTTTATTTCCCGCCCATTTCATATACATTACCACGGGGTTAAAGCGTATGGGCTAACGTCGGGTCAATAGGGTAAAGTTGTTGCCAGGTGTCGCGTTATCAAGGCTTACCGAACGTAAAGATGCGTCAGGTGGGAGGACGCAATAAAAATTCCATGACTAGGCCACATAAACTCACAGCTGCTCTCCAAGGTTAAATAAGCATCAATGCATAAAAAAAGCCAAAAAACCGAACAACCACATGCTTGAGTTTAAGAATAACATATACAACTCCAAGCCTTAAAAGAATCGTTGATCTTATTTCCTTCCAAAATTAAGGGCATCTACGCTTTGAAGAGTTTCCATCGATCAAGATCACATCAGAATTTTTCAAGCAACATTTTTATGACGATAAAAACAAGTCCTTCTATGAGGCAAACCAAGAAGAATAGAAACATTAAAATCTTGAAAAAAACATATGTCTATAATCTTCAATAAACTTTAATTGATTTTTTCTCCTATAAATGATCAAATTTCAGAACCAACATGATAATGCCCTTTAATTATCTTGTTCAGAACTTCAGAAAGTAGCACCCATTTCTTTTTAAAGTGCAACTGTGAAGCAACAATATATATCTGATTAAAAGCTAGATGGCCACACAAAAAAAAATCATAATAGTTTGAGAAAGTTCTGAGAAATGGTTTTAAAATTTTAGTTTAGTGAACAGTTCATGGATAAAACAGTTAAGGTCCAAACCGTAACTTAATCTGCGCTACAAATTAAGAAAAAAAAAAACCAACATATGCATAGGCCAGTGTAAACCAACATATGCATAGGCCAGTGTAAGGAATTGACTGCATTCTTTCCAATAGGAGGATCATATTAACACGAATTTATATGTGGTTACGTAAAGTCAAGCAGTAATAAAAAGATTGACCTGCTTTGCCTTTGCAAGTCCCTCAGACAGGAGTTGATCAATAATTGCTTCCCAGACATGTTGACCCCTGAAGAACAGTTTCAATCCACTCTACACAGCATAATCAAAATAATGCAAATAAGGGATGTGCTTTTAAGACCAAAATCATGTTGACTTCTGAAAGAGAAAAGTCAACTAAAGGTCCATGATATGTAGATTTCCTCATATGGCAACAACCTGATCTTCACTCTCCACGTCCCCGGCAAAAGATGCGCCATCACAGTACCGCACCTTAACTTTATTCCAGTTAAAAAAATCTGAAAGAACAAAAAAAACCTAGAGTTATTCATACACAGGGAGAACAGCATATGCTAAACATGACAAATAACATAGAAAAAGAGAGAAAGAATATGAAGATTGATATACAACAAAGAAAATCAATTACAATCAGCACACAAATAGGTTTGGCAAGAGGTCCAAACAAGTAAATGATGACAAAAGACTAGAGTTTCAAATGCGACTTAGAATAATATAAAAGGTTAAAACAAAAGAAAACTGCAAATCGATGGATACTAATTCATTCTTTTAGCAAAAAAAAATCCACTTTTAGTGTATGAACAGTAAACAAAGCAATGTAAGAATCATTCAAAATCTAAAATTCTACAAGAAAACAATGTCATTAAAGGGTGTATCATTTAACATGAGATTATAATTAAATTGAATCACATGTACAATGTGTTGACCTCGATTTTCGCTCAAGCACTCTCGAGCACCTTCGATCGGCTTATGGCTAATCGTATCTATAACTCCATCTGCTCTTCCATCGGCCTGCTTGTGTCGATTGTAAAGGCCTACGACCATTTTGTCCTACGGGATAGTGTGATCGTACTCTTTGCATTCGAACCACACGAGCGGAATCCTTTCGGAGACCCACACAATGCTTTTCAAACAATATTAATTATCATGTCTAGCATGACAACTACAATTTTTATACCACCTTTCCCTACTCATATCAAGCAGATATAACCATAATATTACTGCAGCTCAAGCTCAGAGTATTGATCACTTGACAATCCCACCTACCAACTTAAAGTCCTATTCTCTGCCATTTATGACCTAATGCTCCTCCATTAGCAGTGTTAATCAAAGTGGTGTTTCCCCTTCTAGGTCCTTATCCGATCTGCTTGGATCTCAGAGATCTTAAGGCATATGGATACAAAAAGTCCAATAGGAACAATAATTTTATTTCTAAATAGAAGAATCCTTTTCAGGCACCACAAGTGAGATTTTACAATGTCAACTATTATTTATTTTTTGGATTGCTGATGCATGGAAAGTTACTGAAGCTAATTTCCAAACCAAAATTTGGTCTGATGAACCTTTGGCCTTTTAATTCTACTCATGAGACTGCAATTCATTAGCTCACCCAAAGCTACTTTGCCAATCTGATTAGGCGGTTCTCGAAAATTTTGTTCACTACTTCACTTCTCCATCTCCCGTACATGAGAGATGAAAACATAGTCCAAATGGTAAAGACAAGGATAAGCATTCAATGTAGCAAGGCTTACATGGGCATTTGGTATATTACTTCGTGCTCCGCTTAAAAATTCGTTAGAAACAAAAAGAATAAATTTCCATTGTAAAATCACCCCAAACTCTTTTCTTTGCTAGAGTATCACTAAGCTTATCTAGTTCAAGGCTGAATTATTCCACTACAAAGTTTTTGAAGAATTTGAAGCTTACCATTCAGGGATTGTCTCAGGATAATTCTATTTCCATTGAGATTACTATCGGAAGGTAATATGCAATTGGAGATGCTGTTAATTCATCCAACTCTTTAGTTGACAATCCATGGTCAGACTTTGAAGAGAGCAGGGAGTAGACAAGAAGGGGCTAGCATCTTCCTATAATATGAAATTTCTTTGCATATGAAATCTTCATTGCCTATAAAATATGAAAAACATGTGAAGAGCTAATGAAAGAGTAGAGAGATGGAGGAAAATATACAACACTACAAAAGGAAACCTTAATAGTCCATGTGATACATGAAAACTGAGGAATTTCATGTTGTATCCAATTACTTAGCACTTGGGCATGCCCAACATGGCATGTTGGACTAAGGATGTGAGTTTCAAAATAAACCAACTAATCATATCAACCAATTCAACTCGAACCAAACAAACATTATTAGGTATGGTTATAGCCTTGTATGAGTGTGGTTTGTAATAATGTTAAACGATATAAGACCTAAAAAAATTTGGGTCAGATTCTATATGACCAATGAACTAAAAAATGACTAATTTATGACTTGCATGAGAGCTACAAGTCAGCTTGACACAATATGACCAATCAAAACAATCGATTAGTAATCCTTTGACTCAGTATGATCCATCCACCAATTAATTTTAGCCCTATTATCACCCAAACCAAACCTGGTGGTCACACTTAATAGAGCCTAAACCAACCCCAACTAAGATTTAAAACCTAAAAATGACTTTTATATTGTTTAATTCAACTAAGAAGTTATACAAGCCTAGTTAGGTAACATGTTTATTTTCTTAATCAATTTTCAGTCTATTAACTTGGCTTTTTTATTTAATTTAATTAAATAGGTCAATTTCAAGGTGAACATATATTGTCAAATCCTTACATTGATTTCACGTGACTAATTTTTTATATTTAAAAAAAATTATAAGCTTGTGAACCTCTGTCATGGTGAAGACACTTTTGGAGCATATTTTGTACAAGCAATTTCACTGAAACCTTGAATATTGAAATTAATCTTATTGTAGATTCTTAGCCTCTTGCTCAACCTCTTCATTAACTCATACTATATTCCATAGAATTGGAATCAAATATAAATTGATTAGTATTTCCTACCCACATATTGATTATTTCTTTTATCGATATGCTACTTATTTTAATTTTGTCCAACATTTGTTTACAGATTGTATGTCATACAATATGTTTTCAATATTTGCCTTGTTTCAATGTCTGTATTGATGGTTCATGGATGGCGTTTACAAGTTAAGAAAAGCAAACCTCGATATATATAAATTAGGGTAGCAAAAAGCACAAACCTGGATTTTGAGATGGGTAAGGGCTCAATATGCCAACAAAATGCATTGCTTCCATGTACATTGATGATCCCAACGCTGTCCTTCCACGTGAAGCACATGATTCTGCATTATTACACCAGCCTCCACCCTAAAGCTTGCGAAGCATAATTAAATTAAGAATGGGGTTTATTAAAATTTAAAGTAGACCACTGGATCAGTTCTTCTTCAAGCAAAATGAAAACACATTTTGCGCGTAAGGTGAAAACATTACACTACACATCAGGAACTTTATCAACTCAATACGAACTCAAATTCAATGAAATGGTATCATAAATTGATCAAAACATAAAAACCGTCACCTGCTATACAAGCCCATGGGCAATAAACGGGAGAGCGAAGTGCACTGTTGAAAACGTTTTTCAAAAGAGATCTTGCAAAATTCTTCCGTATCCAACAACCAATGAACTCTATACCAAGTTATCGTGAGACAGAAAGAATGAATACGAAATCTTATATATCTAGATAACGCAGGATCTAATTCTCAATATCCATTCCCATTCTTCCATAAATTATCAAACCCAGGAAAAATGTGGTCAAATTACACAATAAAGCATAAGAGTGAAATTCCAAGAGTACCTCCAAGTGAAGAACCCATTTGTCAGATCCGGATCCTTCACCTCTGAGGAGATGATACCCAGGTAAACTCCCATCCAAGCAAACTTTGATTGATCACCGAATTTGGACAATGAAATGTTAAAAGAGAAATTTTCCAAAAGAAAACCTAAAATTGTAACTGAAAAAAAAAAAAATACGGTACTGCTTACGAGCACCCTCAGCCTTGGCTTTTCTCAACAAAGTGAGATCAACAAGTGGAGGTTCTAGTGATCTGAAGACAGGGTCTTGGACACCTCGTCCTTCCGCTCTCCCTTCTTCATGCTCCCAATAGTGGACAGTAAAGATGACGGCAAGTATGACGACAGCGCATCCTCCGGCCAGCGTCACCCGATTCCTTCCCCACCACCGCCGGAACCAGAGGCGAATGCGGTGAATCGCCATCCAAGCAACCGATGGGGTTCCAGTGAGACCGCCAGCTGCAGCTATGCCTTGAATTCCTCGGATGCATCACCCTTCTTTGATCTTTTCTATCGACAAAGAAAAAGAAACATGGAAGTAGGTGGCTCGGATCTCACCTGCGTGGTAGTTTTTTGTCGCAAAATAAATAGTAACTACTCATTAATAGTAGAAAAAATTATGTATAAAAAAATACGTAATAAAATAATCAGTGTGTACGCACATTCGAACACGTTCAGATTGCGTACACAATAATTTTTCGTAAAAAGGAGAATCACTGGTAGTCGGGAGTTTCCCCACACGCGGGGAAATTATTCTGTGCGGAGTCCCACCGCAGCATCTTCCGGTTGCTGATACTCAGTAAATAAATAATAAATAAACTATACTCATTAAATATTCAAAAAAAAATCATCAAAAATCTAGAAAATACTTACTAAATACTCATCAGTAAATAATCAGAACTAATAATTGGCTTAATATCTACTGCATATTTGCAAATACTCAGTATATATGAAGTACATATGCAATGCATATGCAGTAAGTACGCAGTGCGTATGCAGCAATCCGAAAAATCTTGTAAGTTCAAACTCTGCACAAAATAATTCCTTATTATGTGCAGAAGTCCAACTCCAATCAAAACTTAACATGTGGATGTATACAATTACGTGCATGTTGTATAATTATGTACATAATATTTAAGTCTACAATGTGTACATATTCATATGTCATGCTTTCGCTCGAGTCTGAATGTAACTCTGTGTCCAGAGTTCGCACGTAATACTTTCTCCTCCGGACGAGCATGATTGAGAGTCCAAAATAAATTTATATAGAATATTATTTTATTTATTTATTTTTAATTACTTGATTAAAATAGAGAAAATAATGTTAGATGACTTAAAATTATAATTATTATATAACTAAAACAAATTATGTATGTGATTTCTAAGTCTTAATATTATATACAAGTATTTTTTAAATTTATTTTTGCACCTTCCAACAAAATAAGTACAATAATAAGATTTTTAGGTATGCTTGAATTCGTAGTTTTAAATTTTTATGTGCCAAATTCAAGTGTTCAACCCACCAAAAAAAAAAAATTAAGAGTATGTCTCCAATCTCATCAACTTTTGAGAAATACATAATATGCTGGTCTTTTTGAGCCCATTTTCAATTGATCTTAGATTTTAGATGGTATAAACATTCTATGAAATTTACTCTTGAATCATTTGAAATCTATTTTTCAGCAAAGTTATAATCAAAATATTAATGAGATAAATCTAGTGATATAAGAAGCATCTTGGTCCAAACCCAAGTAGACTTAAATTAAGCACTATAGAACATAATTATAAATTTCTTAGGCCAATTAAGAGATCAAACTTGCGTATATGTTGTGTGTGTGAATTTATCTTAATTACTCAAATGTCTTGTGAATTTATTTTTAAGTAAAAAATATTTGAATTAAAAGATTTTATACTAAATTAAAAAAAAAAAAAAAATTTGTTCCAAATAAAATCTTTATTTTAGCATTTTCTTCTGTATGGAAAAAAAATAAAAAGAACTTCTCCCGCTCTAACAAATAATACATATTTATATATCCCTTTATAAGGAAATTAGTACTTTTTCACACGCCTTGCACCATTTAGTATAAAAGAATAAATTTGGTTTAACTTGCTAAAAGACAAAATTTTTACATTTTTTTTTTAATTTTAAGCTATTTTGAATCACTATAATTCTTAAAAATGAAATTGTTGATAATAAATAGTTTTTTGTCAATAAAAATCCCTCATTATTTATAAAACAAAAGTAACCGATCAGCTACTATCACCATCGCTTGTTATCGTTTCAAGAACTACCAATCATTATTATAACTTTTGTTGCTACTGCCACCAACTGCTATCATAATTCAGAATCACTTAAATCTCATTGCCACTCTGACAACTACCATCATGCTATCAATGCCTTGTCGTCGTTGTCACCACTGTCATCTTGCATGTTGCTACCAGGTCAACTCGTTTAATAAACAGTTCAGGTTGACCTGCAAATATATTCTTCTAATTTTTTTCAAATATGTTAAATTAGGGTTAGTAAATTATATATATTTTTAACCAAAATGGGTTAACATGATGGATTCAAGTCATTCAGGTTGGAAGAGAGTCAAGTTCAAGTTGATGTTTTTATCCCGTTTAGTAAATATATCGAATTCAGGTTGACTTGATTCGAGTCGGATCAATTTCCAATCAAATCCAAACCTGACATGTCAATCTATTTTGACACCCCTAACTACCACGCCACTCCGTCACCTCCATGGAGATCACTGCATAAATCAATCGAGGTGTTTTTTATTGTTGTCTAGTTGAATATTTGCAGGGAGCTGAATTGCAATCCCAATAGATTTATTGTATTGGCTTAATATTCTCTTATTACTGTTATTATTTTCTTCTTTTCATTCTTTTAGTGGCCTTGTCTAGTTGGCTCTAGTTACAAAATTTATAAAAAAATGTTGAAAAATTAGTTACAAAAATTATAATTAAGATCTGAAAAAAAATCAATAATGCTTTGTTTTATAGAACTTTCTTATTACTTTTTAAAACAACTTATTAGTACAACATTTTTTTTAATTTAAAAAATTTTCTACTAAAAATGTTTTTTTTTTTTTTGAATCGGGTATCCACCCGCTATCACTCCCGAAAGAGCGCTTGGCAGTGTGACTAATCCTCGACTGACCTAGAAGAGACATCCACCCCAGAAACCTCCTGGCCCACACTTGATTGTACCCCACTTAAAAGGCGCTGCCGCTCGAGAGCAATCAAGCACGGGTTGGCCCACCAACCAAGCTAAGCAATAGTGGGTTAAGAAAAAAGCTTTAAAAAATGTTTCAAACTAAGCCTAATAAAGATGTCCCAAACAAAGCAATCATATTAGGCGAGTGATATTTTATCATATATTTTTTAGCATTATTTATGCGGTGCTTTTGAAAGACTTTAGTCATGATTTTGCTGCTTTTCATTTGTGTTCTTTCACTCTTATTATGGAACTTTTATTTTATTCGGTGAACGTACGCAGAGGAACCTTCGGTTTTAGGCAAAAAAAGCACCTGTACCGAGTACCGAGTACCGAGGTGTACTGAGTTTTTTTGAAAAAATTCGGTACAGTCGCGTTTTTGCCTAAAACCGAACGCTCCTCTGCGTACGTTCACTGTATATAATAAAAGTTTCTTATTATGGGCTATAATCCGAATATTCTACGATTGCTTTGGAATATGCCATTCTTTGAAAATGAAAATAAAATGCAATGGCCTTTTTGCTCTCTACTCCCTACTTTTTATTATCATATTTTTTAATAGAAAATCAAAACTAAAAAAAATAATAACATATTCTTCTTATACACATATGTTATACGTAGTTAAACATAGAAATCTTACATAATAAAAAAAAATAAAAATATGCTAATGAGTAGTTGCATTTATTTTATTATATTTAAAAAAAAAAATCTTAAAAAGGTAATTATGTAATATATTTTAATTTTTTAGGTCTCAGCATATTTTTATCATTTATGATATATTTAATCCATTCATATATTTATTCTAAATTTGTTGAACAATACTTATTTTTAGGGTATTATATGCTAATGTTAAAATCTTGTCTATATATAAAATTAATATTTATGTTTTTTTAGTTATTGAATTATATATTTGTGTTGAGAATTTGATAAAAAAATATTAACACAAAATTTATTATAAAATTTAATGTTTGAGAAATAAATTAAAAAGTAAAATTAAAATATTAATTTCATAAACAATCAAAATTTATGTATCAAAAATATAATCACCCTTTTAATTTTGTATGTATGCAGCCTTTGATGATACGTCGAGAAAAGACCTAATTTTTACAATTTAGGCTATTGGACTAAAAAATTGTGCAGATTCGGCTAAGAGAAAGCGGAGAAAAAAAAGCGGCATTTTTGTCATCTTCGATCGATGGCTAAGCAGTCCTCCACACTATATAGACGCCGGAAGTCATTTTCTCTCAATAAACCCAATTTGATTTATCGGCTTCGAGGCGGAGCACGTCGCCTGGATCTCGCGGTAACAATCTGAACCCATTAACTTCTTCTTTCTTCTGCGTTTGGAGTGCGGATATAGGATCTTTTTAAAGAAAATTCTATTGATTGAATTCATATTCTTTTGAAATATGTTGTAATTGTTCGCAAAGTGTGCTTTATGGTGATGCTCCGTGAAGCGGCTTTCAGTAAAAAAAAATCGGATTATATTTTCTTTTTTGATTGATTAGTGGACGTCCTTGGAATTATTTCTGGATGATTTTTTTTCCTGATCAAATTTACTTGGTCTGGCAGCTGAGATTTGCTGTCGAACAGGAGAGATGGACCAAGGGAGCATTCCAATGGAAGAATCCTTTGTATGTATTGCCGTTTTTTCTTTCAAATAAAAATTCCGGTTCAAAATGTTTTCTTTCTATTTGATTGAGAATCACCTTGTTGGAAATCAAAAATATGAAGTACTGTTAGGGCTTCGCAAGTTGATGTCTTAGTAAGCTGTTGGCTTCATCTCGTTATGTCATATACTCGAGATTTTAATGGTTGTTTAAAGAATTTTCTTAATATGAAGCTTCTTTCATTGTGCAGTAACTGATATTAGAATGTTAGATGAAATCAGAGAAGATAGCAACCAATCCGATAAAGGAGCAGACCTCACAGTACGCTCGCTGCTAATCTCTTCATGCAGTATTTGGATTCAATCTCTCTTTTTTTTTTTTTTTCGTAAATTTGGATTCAATGTCAGCTATCCGAAGCTGATTGATTGGAAGGCGAAGATGTCCTAACCACTTGTGCACTGTTACTGCTGTAGTCGCAGAGGATTTGCAGCCATTGCATGTCAGGTATTAAGCTCCAAATGGATGTTTTTTCTTATGTCATCTTGTTTTTTTTCCATGGAATTTTAGCCAGCCCAGAATGACGCATGGTTAATCTATTCCCAGCCTACGCCAGAGTATGGCTTCGTCCAAACGGCTTTCTTTATGCTTCTTGAAGCAGCTTTCTGAGCTGCTTCTTAGCTGCTTCAAAAAGCAGAAAAAAAGCCGTCCCAAACAAAACCTTAATTGTGTTTTTGGTCTTGTTAAACTTTGTTCAGATGGATGATAAAGGCAATAATATCATGAATAGAGGTATTGGCACGACTTGGATGTTCAGTTTCATAGGTAAAAAGCTATCGAAGAGGAAAAAACACAAAGGGAAAATCTCCCCTTCATCATCTCGGATGCTGAGAACTATTTCAATCCATCATTTGGAATGCACTGATTTTGTTCCTGAGAGTGAAGTAGGCCAAACTGCTTCAGATAGTAAGAGTTCAAAAGATGATCTAAATTCTGATTCATTCGCTATGAGCGAACATGAATCTCAGGTACTTCAAGAACCTCATGGATCTTCTAAAGGGAAGCCTGGTGAAGCATGTAGGGGAATTGATGTGGCTGATGATTTGCCTGGATCACACGACAAGCTTGATAAAATACAAAATCATTTACTTCATGAGCGTGTAGTTCTCAAGGAAAAGTTGGCTGAGGCAAGGGATGATTTATTGAAGCTAAAAGATGTCAATCCCCAGGGTATATCAAATGAATTTGCGAACCAGTCAAAACTTTTTCTGGATACACTTGAGTTGTTTAATGCTAATAGAGAGGCTCTTCTTGATGGTCCTGAAGACTCGAATTACATCTCACCTGATTATACAGAGAGATTACAGGCTCCCACTAAAGCTAGAATGTTAACCAAGTCTGTTTCATTTCCTGGATTAGAATTCTCAGGAAGGACTGCTCGGATTTTCTTGCCAAGTTATAACAGAATGAAGAGTGATTCCTTTGTTACTCAGGGGACAAAGTCTGAATCTGTTAGTTCATGCATTAACGTTGTAGAGGTTGGCTTTGACTCGGATGTTTTACCCAGTTCTCATGAATTGAGAAAACGAAGAGAAGCTGGAACTGTTTTAAATCGCTTGAGAAATCTGAAGCAGAAGATAAAGGATGTAATCACAGAGAACAGGAAAGAAAAAAGTAGAACAGTTAGGGATGGGATTCTGCATAAAGTTCCGTTTGGCCACAAGCTACTGGAAGATATGAAAGATAAAAAGCTGAACCTTTGGGATGATTCTGCGTCAGAAAGATGTGACAGAGTAGGTGAAGGAAGAAACTTCAATAACGCTTCACATGGTTCTTATAGTAAATTTGAACGGAAAAGTTTTCAACGGTCTTGCTCACTTGCTGAGTCCTTAGATAGGTATTCTCACTTGTTAGAAACCCTTTCACTCAATGAAAAGGGGGGAGAAGTTACTGAGAATTCAAAATCAAACCAAAAAGATAACGGGTTGTTGCAAGGCATGCTTCCAAAGAGTTTGGGAAGAATGTTCTCCAGTCCGGTGCTCAGGTCATATTCTTTCAGCAAGGCTGTTCAAAGTGACTTCTCTCCTGATTCATCGAAAGTTCTAGCAGCCGAACCCATTGGAAGTAAAATGGACAAAGTTGTGAGTTCAAAATCAACCCTAGAAGATAATGGTTTGCAGCAAGATAAGCTCTCAAAGAACTCTGGAAGAATGTTGTCGTATTCTTTCAGCAATGATGAACAAAGTGAACGCTATCTTGAATCAACACAAATTCTATCACCAGAATCTCTTGGCATTGTTATGGAAAAAAATTTAGATAAACCAACCACCGATGCAATCATTTCTCCTATTTTAGAAAAAAATGACTACGAACATGAAATGGTTGTGGATCCAGATTCTCTTTCTTGTGCTGAAGAAGCCATAAGACCAGATAAATTTGTTACGCCTACTGTAGAAAGCATCACTGAGATGATAGACAGTCAAGTAAATCCAGTTTCTGTGGATGACTCTGAACACATTGAGCCATCTTTGTTCACAGAAGTCGTGGAAGAGGAAGCCGACTTAGTCAATAGACGTGAAGTTCAAATAGAAGCTGAATCTGATATCAAGAGCCCAAGTTTTATCTCGTCTCTTGACCTGAATATGGTTGACGATTCTTCTAGTTCAGCGAAATATCTACCTGGAGAAGGTGAGAAATTTTATTTGTCGATATAATTCTTGCTTTCAGTTGCAACTTCATCCATTTTTATTCGTATAGGCTTGCGATCAACGGGAATATAATTGATATCCAATTGTTTTACTAATGACCAAATATAACAATCATGGACAGCAACATTAGCTTTAAATGTTGAGGCTTTTGGCATGAAAAATAAAATAAGTTAATCAAACCAATGAAATTCTAATTAACTATTTAAATTAGGTGATCATTGCATTAATTACTTGAATTTGACTCATTATTTATCTAAATTATCTACTTTTCCAAGTAGTAATTTTTGTAACAATATTCAAATGTTTTAAATATTTAAAGATAATTGTATAACAAAGAGGATTGAGCTGACCTGAGTTGAGCAATTTTCAATTTAGATGTTTGGTCAGATTTAGGCTTTATTTGGGACATCTTTCTTACTAATTCTTAAATCCGTTTTTTAGTACAAAATTTTTTTCTTCTCCTTTGTGGGGAAGAGTTTAATCATCTTTTCTGACATAATAGTACCATCTCTCTTGATTTGATGCCACAATACCCATGTCCTTGAATATTTCGATGATGTGATGCTCACACATGAAGTCTCAATACAACAACAACATCAAGCCTTTGACCCACTATGTGGGGTCGGCTACATTAATCTTTTTTCGTCCTTGTGTCCTGTTAAAAGTCAATTTCTCATTTAAATCTAATAAAAAAAATCATTTCTAATATTTTCTAACTAAGTCTTTTTAGGCCTACCTCTACCTTTCTTAACATGAAGTCTCAATATGTTACATAATTTATATTAAACGCAGCACAACATTCTCCTCAGTAAGCCCTCCTCTCTTGTATGATAACACATTGCCCTCCACTTTATTAGGCTAGGTTCTCTGATTCATTATATGGATCTAAAAGGAAAATAAAACTAGGAAAATTGATACTTGTTGCTGTTCTTTTTACACACTGGCCCTCCAATCTCAAAGACCACTTGGATCACTCTGATTCAAAAAAATGGAGGGTGGCGGCGCACCCATGCTGACACTTGATCTTTTTCCATAACAAAAGAACTTAGGAAGATGATGGTTGGGGTTGCCTTTGTAACATGGAACTTTGAACATGCCGTCATATATTGCTTCCTTAGGGGAAATGGATTGTCATGCAAAACTATGGAGGAATGACTCACAAAAAAAGTGGATTCTTGTTAAGCACTCAATTAATTAATAAAAATGCATAACATTCCAAAAGTTACAAAATGACTCACATTACCTTTAAAACTAATCTTAAGGTACATTTTTTTTTATTTTTGAAGTCTTCTAACTTTTCAAATTATCAAATATTATGAAAAGACCTTCCTTTCATTAAATTATGAAAATCCCCTATGAGGATTTAAAATCCAAAATCTAATGTTAAAGTAACAATGTTATTTCAAGGAATTTAAAAATTGCATAAAGCCTCCTCTTGCTTTATAAAAAAATTACAAAATATTTATAGCAACGAGGAAAATGCAAAAAGGACTTTATTTTTATTTATTTAAATTATTAGAATAATAAACATAAAGAAACTTTATAGAAATATTAAAGTTGTGAGAAATTTTAAAAAATTTGGACTGTCTCTCCTTCGAATGGTCTGGTTAACTTAATCAATAGCTGATGATCAAAATTGTGAAAATCCAGCCAACTAGGATAAACTATCATGGACCTAGATCAGCTAAGTTAATTATATCAGAATTCCTTGGATAAGCTGTTTAAGACATTGATGCACCTCATATGCATATTGTTAGCTCAAGGAGTACATGAGTGACACTTTGAGGGTTTTAAATATAGATTGAATCAATATGCATATTACCGTATCAATGCAATCTTTAGTGCTATATGATGTAGCCCATGAAACAAAGTAAAATGAAAAGGAGATTGGAAAGGGCTTTCATTGCTATGAAAATATAAGATTATATCATATAAGTAATGATTCAGTCATCCACAATTATAGTGACTCACTCATCCTCCCATAACAATCAAGGAATCTCTGGAGACCCAATTAAATAAGAATAATCTTTTACTCTCATTCGTGAGAGATTATATTGTGTGGTATCCGAATGTGTTCCAAAGTCAATTCATATGCAATTCGGGTGCACCACGTCATTCAATGCACTGTGCATTGAGTAACGTGACGGGTCTGAATTGACCTCCGGACACCGCTCGTAATAATTTTTCCTCATTTTTGAGCTCTCTCCAAAAACATTTTACAGCCTTAGATACACTAGTGCATCCTAACGGTTGTATAAATTATACCATCGCAAGGGATATTGTATTAATTACATCAAATGGTGTGCGAAGGAAGCAGTACTGACCAAAGGGTATAAGCTTCAACTTTGAAGGAAAATATAAACACAAACAGCATCCATGGTACAATAGCTCTTTGTAACCTCCACAATGGAGGAAAACAACCCATTAACGCTAAAGAGTACTCCTTTATTGAAATTTGGTTACAACGAAACGCAGGAACTATTCTCAATATTTTATAGAGGTAAACACGAATTATGGTCATTCTTTCTCAATTTAGTCCTCTTCATCACGATCCAGTAAAAAAAGGAAAATAAATTACTCCAGAAGAACTTGATCGACAGGCTTTGGGCCATCTTTATCCATGTTTTACTTCAACTCTTCTAGCATCCATATGGAGATTTCAGCTTGTTTGTCTGCACATTCCTTGTTCCCTTAAGTTTTTTAAATTGCTCAAGTACTGTTCAAACATCTTTGCTCCTCAACAGGTTCAGAATCACCACCAATCCCCAACGACTCTGATGCGCAACATCTACTCTCCGATACGAAGAACAAAATCGACTGCAATGAGCAAAATTTAACAGAAAATTTCAACTTCGGCTGTGATGATGAACAAAAGTCAAGCTCTTTCTTTGTTCATGTCGACCACAAGTATGATACTTTGTTCCAGCTTGTGAGAAATATATTGTGCAAGTCTGGGTTTGGGGTTCTTCTCTCATCTTATGAATTTGGAATTGAAAAGGACACACCTTTCGAGCAGAAGCTCTTATATGATCTAATAAATGAGGTTTTACAGGAAATATATGAGAACTGCACTGTTCCAAATCCTTGGCTCCTCCATTTTCATTCTAAAATTAGATCAATGCCTGTAGGAAACTATCTTCTTAAGGATGTTTGGACTGAAATTTGCTGGCATCTCTGTACGCCACAGGGGTTTTATGCCACTCTTGATGATCTTATGGCCTATGATTTTGCCAAAAATGGTGGGTGGATGAACCTCTACCGTGATGCAGAGTGTGTTGCTTTGCAACTGGAATATCTGATATTGGATGATTTGCTTGAAGAAGCTGTTGTTGCTTCTGATGGGTTTGATTTTTTAATATATTGATCTACTCTATTGTTACTGTAAATTTTCTTGTATATTTATCTCTGCCTTATTTTTTAATTCGACTTATATTGTGTTGTTGTGTTAGTTTTACATACAGATGTAAAGCTGAATTTCTTATATTTTGGGGCTGTTTGGCTACAGGTTGGATATTGTAAATCTTGTAAATTCAGATTCAGTAAATTCTGTATGTTTTAAATTTAGAAAACTGTGTTGTGATTGATATTAATGGTTTGTTTGGAACGTTTTTTTTTTATAATAATTTTTTGGTTAAAAATTTTTTTCGAAAGCAATAAAAAATATAATATTTATTAATTTAGAGAGAGAATGTGACAAAATTTCAAGAGATGTGTTCTAGAGAGTTCTAGAAAAGGAAGGAGTTAATAATATTTATATTAAGTTATATATGAGTTGAAACTTGGCCAAATATTTTATTACACAAAAAATCAGCTTTAAGCCAATATCTTATTAATTATTATTGCAGTAATGGATGATCTTACTAGAATTTTCCAAATGTACCTGGTGCATTTTTTTAATGATGATATTCTTCTTGTTGAGAAGATTATAGAGATAATTGAAAAAAAAAATGAATTATGAAGGTCAATTTTAGAGTCCAAAGGTTTTCATTTCAATAAATCTAAAATTAAATCCATGAAGTATAATTTTAATAGTAATAGATTTAGTGAGGGATTATGATTTTGGGCAATCAAGTAATTAAAAAGAGTTCATATATTTCAGATATCTCAAATATATTTTTTAAAGTTATGGTAAAATAGATGGGGATATTATTTGTAAAATTCAAATTGTATGATTGAAGTGGAGGAAATAGAGAAGTACATCTCAAAGTTAAGGGAAGTTTTATAAGATGGTGGTGAGACTTGCAATACTTTATGGTGCATAATGTTAGCCATTGAAAAAAAAGCATAGAATTAAGGCTTTGTTTGGGACCGTTTTTTTTCTTCTTAAAGCAACTTATAAGTACAAAAAGTTAAGTTTTTATACTAAAAAGCTGCTTTAAGACTTAAAAAAAAAAAAAAAAACCGTCCCTAATGAAGCCTAAGTTAAATGTTACAAAAATGAGAATGTTCGGGTGGATGAATTACTTTACAATTAGAGATAGAATTCAAAATAAGTATATACGTGAAAAGGTTGGAGTAGCTCCAATGAAAACTAAGATTATGAAGAGTTGGTCGTTGGCCTTCTGATGACTCCGATTAGAAGAATATATGTATTGGATTTGACCAATGTTAAAAAAAAATAGAGGGAGATCAATAAGAAGTTATTTAGTGGATTGCCATGCGTGGGACCTTGTTTTGCAAATTTCTTATGCCTAAACCAATAAGAAGTTAAAGAAGGCCTGCTGATCCTCGTCAGCCACTTCTGTGAGATTTTTCTAGCACCATCTATTATCTATAACTATTTTAGTAATATAAAAAACAATCTCGTTCGGCTCTATTTATTAAAAAAAATTTAAATGATTATATATATTATATGATATATTTATAAATATATAATTAAATAAAAAGTTAAATTTAAGTGAATTTGTGATTAAAGATCTGTTTGGAATGACTATACTATTTTATAAAATTGATTGTGAAATTACTGTAAAAAAAATAATTTTTTATTATGATTGCACAAAGCAACTTCCACCAACAAAATTTTTTAAAATCAACAAAAAAATAAAATTGTAAGTTGTTTAAAATAGCCTCTAAGGTTTTGTTTGGGATGGCTTTCCTACACTTTGTAGAGCACAGTACGATGAAAGTTGTAAGCTGTGTTCCGGGGGGAGTTATTGTCTATCGTTGGCCTCTATGGTAGAATTAGCCGGAGAGGCCTGAGAGGCGGTGGTTTATTGGAGCAAAGCAAAAGTGTTTGCCGTTCGGTTGGAGATGCCCTTAAAGTAACTTTATAGTACAAAATTAAATTTTTTATTAAAAATTATTTTAAAAATAATAAAAATACCGTCCCCCAAATGACACAACAGTTTTAATGTTTTATATCATTATCTTTTTTACTATTTAAAAAAAATTATAAAAAAATAATTTTATAAAACAGAAGAGCCTAAGTCATCTTAGTTCTTATCCATCCATTCTTATCCCATTGGATTAAATATTATTTAATCTCATTGTTAAAAACTAAATAAAGAGCGGCCGATTAACGTGTAAGGAACGGTCTAGAAACAAACTTCCTTAGTCAGAAATCTTGCATAGTTCATTCCGTCCGATTTGCATTGGACGGTGCTGATAGCTTGTCCGCATAGGACATAATGAATAAAGAATTACAAAAAAGGATATGATTCCAAGCGTACGCATGCGTCACCGCTAAAGGACCAAACGGACATGGTAATGCCACGTGGATGTAGCGACGAAGAGATCGTCCCGTACTGCTACTGCCCTATAAAAGTAATCAGTCTTCAAAGCTGAGATGGGCGCGATCAGCAATTTCTTTTGATTGATAGAAAAATGTCTTGCTGTGGAGGGAACTGTGGCTGCGGATCCGACTGCAAGTGCGGATCCGGATGCAACGGGTAATGTTTTTTTTTTTTTTTCTTTCGATCTTTATGATCGATTGTTGTGCGATGAATTCTTGATGTAATAGCTCTGATTGTTGTTTCGGTTGTTTTTTGTGCGAACTTGTCGGGGCGAATTGGGGTTTTGATTGTCGGTATGATTCTTCATTCTCTTCTGATTTCTGGTTTTCCGCTTGCCCTGATTGTTCATATTTTGAATTGTTGGCCGAATCATTGAATATTTTCCTGGGTTTATCGTCATCAGAACTTCCCAGTAGAAGTGGAGAGATTACTAGTGTGGAGTTCGGATTGAAGCTGTGTTTGATTTTTATGAGTGTCTACAGTAAAAGAACATTAAAAACGTAGTAAAAATACAGTTATTATTATTACCACAATGTTTTTACTGTGCATACTAAAAAAATTGAATGGCTCTTCGATCCGGACTCTCCATGTAATAATCTCTCGTGTTTTGAGGTTTATTTTTTCTTGGATTTGCTTACTATTTGACCATCTGATGTGATATATTTTAACCGCTTGTCTGCTTATCGATCACTACAGGAATTATATTGCCTTTATTTTTAAATAGTTTAAGGTTTATTTGAGTAACTAATGAGTTTTGTACTAGATTCTGAAGAATCGTTTTTCCGATCGTTGTTTGTTTTCTGATCGCGTTTGTTTTTTTTCTCTGCTACTTTTTTGTTAGATTCGCTCGTTTATTCGGAGATTTTCAAAATAACAAACCAACAAAAAATACTATCACCTTGTCTAAAATCTTAATGACCATGAAATGGCCAAGATGCCTCAGAATAAAATCTGTACAGTAACAGTTTCGAAATCACAGATGCAAGATGTACCCTGGCTTAGGGGAGGAAAGCTTCGCCGCCGGCCAGACAATGGTCCTCGGAGTCGCTCCTCAAAAGGGGTCGGTTTTTCTATCTCCTTCTTCATAGCTTCGTTTCCTTTTCTTAAAAAAGAAAAGAAAAAAAAAACCCCTGATTGCATGGTTCTTGTTGTTGTAGCTTTGACGCGGTGGCCGGCTTCGAGGCAGCAGGAACAGAGAACGGCGGCTGCAACTGCAAGTGCGGCGACAACTGCACCTGCAACCCCTGCAACTGCAAGTGAGATCGAGAGCTCTCAACGAGGAGCCAAGCAGCTTGGCGTGTGTGCGTGTGAAGCAAGCCTTTTGCTTTCTAGTTCGTGTCTGTGTGAAAGAATAATACAGGTTTGTAGGCCGCTTCAAGGGGCTGATTATTTCTTAGTTCCATGGCCGACGAATCTGATCGGGTCTCAACAGGTGCAGCTTTTGTCCTGTTTGTGTGAATCAAATCAATAAAGATAATGGCTCCTCTGCTGTGATGGTTGTTGATTTTACACGTATAGTTGCATGTCGCAGTTAACCGTTGAGGATAGTTTTGACAGCTTATGAGTTGGATAAGGACTAAATCTACAGTGACTCGGCAGATTGAAACTACAGGAATGAAAATTATTAAATAAAATAAATTTAAGCTCTTGAACAAATTTAATTATGATTATTTAAATTAATAATTAGTGTTTTCAAAAAAACGTATGCATGTGGAGATGGCAGAATTTTTTTTTTCTGGTGTATATATCTCATTAAAATTTAAATTATTTCAAAATATTTTTATGAAAAGTAATACAAAAAAATAATCAAAGTATGAATTAAATTCTTATAGTTCTACAATATTTGTTATCCATCAATATCAACACTTATATCACCCCTCAAAATAAAAGCAAAACCAAATTGATGTATTACTACTTGACTTCTTACCTTACAACCCATTGCTTGAATCATACAAATGATTAATGCCCAATATACAATGCATGTATTCTCCATCATTAGGTCTCTACTCCTATTGGGGTGAATAATATGACCATGGTTTTTAAAATCGGATTGGACTGACCGGTTCGATTGATTGAACCGCGAACCAGCTGGTCGTCTGGTTACGGTTTGCTTAAAAAACGCTTTCGTAGAGAACCCATCCCGGATCGTTTGAACTGACAGTTCGACCGCCGAACCGATAAATCTGATCCGTTTATAATAACCAACCGATTCGAAGGAGCAGGTTTTGAGCCATTGAATTTACTCCAATGGCAAAGGTGAAGGAAAGCTTATAAGAAAACAAATAGAAACCCTACTATTCATTCATTCATTCGCGGTTCGCCTCCAGCCTTCGAGTTTCACAACTCCTCTCATCGATCGTTGTTGGAAGCTGCTGTTTCGTGAAGCACCGAAAGCTGACTGAAGGCTTCCTTCTCTTGGTCAAGTTCTCCTCTCCTACCCACTATAAGTTTTTCAATTTTCACGCACTTCTCCTTGCTCCTCTTTGCATGCGGTTGGAAGAGAGCAGGATTTGATTCATGATGATTTTCTTGTTTAACTTATATGAATCAATGTTTCTTATATAAATCCAATTTGAAAATTTTCTCAGATTATATATCTTATTGAAAATAGTAATACTAGTCATAGTCAAGTTTTAGTCAGTTAAATGCAGTAGTTTATTTTATTTGTACATGCATGAACAAATTGCATCATATGATTTGCTTGTTGATTGCGAAATTATTATGTCTTACTTCTAATTTTCCTAATGATGCAACCTAAGCTAGTAATATCAAATCTGATGAAAGACTTTTTAGGCTCAAAGATTGTAAATTCACACATGTAATTAAAGAAAAATCATATTGTTTTAGAATTAAAAATAATCAATAATATAAGCAAATCATTAACCGGGAAATTAAAGTATAGTAAAAAAAAGTTCCTAAATAATAATCTAGGCTTTACAAATGCAAAAAAATCTGAAAGAAATAGGCAAGAAAAAACAACAAATCCAGGAGAAATTAGAGTAGAACACAACTGTGTGTTTGTACATGAACATATGAATAAAAAAATGGGCTGTTCATCACTTCCCAAGTCACAAATCTCTGATGCACACCATGAAGGACTTGATAGAGGGATAAGAAAGAAATATGGCATAAACAATTTTTTTGCACCATAACGAAACCATGTTCTCAATTATTATTGAAAAGTGTAATGCCATCCAAAGAAATCATAAACCGTGCCGATTTGACAGTTGGGAGGTGGTTTTATGACGGTTACATTCCATTTAATGTCATAAACTCTGCTTTTGTGTAAAAGAGAGCTTAGGCTATAACTGCAATTGGACCTGGGTAAAAGTTGCCATCCTACCACAAATTAAGAGTTAATCTTCTACGAGATGGTAAAGAGGAATGTAAGCTGTTGATAGATTCATACAGAAGATCATGAAAAGAAATATGTTGCACACTCATGACAGATGGTTGGACAAATAATAGAAATAGAACCTTGATTAATTTTCTTGTTTATTGTCCAAGGGTATAGCTTTTTTTAAAATCTGTAGATGCTTCTGATATTAGAAAAGATGTCAAGACATTGTGTTCATTATTTTCTGAAGTTGTTGAATGTGTAGGGCCACAGAATATTGTGCAGCCAAATAATGCTGCAAATTACAAGAAGGCAGAAGAATTATTACATAAAAGGTTTGAAAACATATATTGGTCTCTATGTTCTGCTCACTGCTTAAATCTTATTCTTAAAGATTTTGAGAACATACCTTATATTCAGATCTTGCGAAAAGAGCTTCAAAAGTTAAAAATTTTGTCTACAACCATGTCTTTATTTTAGCTTGTCTAAGAAAAAGAGTTGGTTGGAAAGAAATTATTAGGACTGAAGCTATTAAATTTGCTATAACTTTCATCACTTTGAAAACATATATGATCACAAGCTCGATTTACATGCTTTTATAACAAGCAAAGTTTTCTTTAATTCAAAGATATTCAAAACATTAAAAGGGCAAGAAATATCATTCATCATTTTAGATAATAAATTTTGAAATGATTACTAGATAACTTCCAAATTATCTGGGCCTTTAATTCGATTATTGAGAATTGTGAATTCTGATGCAAAACAATCTCCAGGATTTCTTTATAATAGGACGCATAGGGCAAGGAGAGCAATTAAGTTAATATTTAGAAATATCAAAATGATGTACAAACTTTATACAAGCGCTATATAGAGGAGATGTGATAATCAGTTAAGACAAGACATACATTGTGCATCATATTTTTTTAATCCACATTTTTAATATAATAAAGAAAATTTTTGTTACAAACCTAAAGTGATGCAAGGCTTAATTGAGCTAATTGAAAATAAAGATATATGTCCTAAACCATTAGCAACAATGAATAAAATTAGACTATTTCGTGACAATTTGGAAACAAACCAATTGCACTAACTTAATTGATGTCATATTTATGTTATTTGATTAGTTTGATATGAAAATAGGATGTAGAATGAACGTATTAGAGGAAAATTTATGATTTATTTTATATATATTTTAATAATATTATTATTTATTACATCATCATGTTTGACCCTAGCTTGACCAGTCGAACCGTAAATCTCTCCTTTCAGTTTGTTGTCCGGTCCGATTTTCAAAACCTTGAATATGACTACCGCTAGACTTTCAATATTATCCATCAATCATTATTTCACATTCATCACCAAATGAAATCTCCACCACCACAAAATTCCTCCAAATAACACGAAATGAGACATCATTTCTTCAAAATTCATACATATTACATTATATTAATAGTTTTTCTAATTATAAGAGCGAATTCCCTTCATAATTCTTGACTCATATTAATAAAATTATTTCAATTAAACTAGGCCCAATATTTTCCCCTCTTTTTCAATATTTTCACACAAAAGTTTGTTTTTTTATATATTATTTTCAATTTATTTGCGCGCACATAATTTCCACACAGCATTAAAACAATAAACTCCTATCATCATTGTATCCATAAGAAATACATCATGTTGAAATAAATATCATTTCTTGTCAAATGACTCAGAGAAAGCAAATGCGACTCTCCAATCAACCAAAACCATGAATCTTATATGATTCATTACAACAACAATCAACAATAAGTTTTATCCCACTAAGACTTCGTTTGAGACGGCTTTCTTCCTACTTCTTAACAGCGGCTTTATAGTAAAAAAGTTAAAATTTGTTAACTAGAAAGACGCTTTAAGAAACAGTAAGAAAGTCGTCCCAAATGAAGTCTAAGTGGGATTGACTACATAAATTATTTTTCTAACAAAATTAAAATCTAATTAAAAAAAATTATTTCTAACCAAATCTTTTTAGATTTACCTCTACCTCTTTTACCATTGATAAAATTCTAATATATTTACTCTCCTAACTAGGTCATCAATAGGCCGACATTTTATGTGACCAAACCATCTAAAGTGACTTTCTCTAATCTTATTTGTCATTATGCTCGTTTCACATTCTATGTCTAAAAGTAAAGTCACTCATCCACCTGAATATTCTCATCTCTGCAACACTTAATTTAATTGTATGCTTCTCTTTTAATGGCCAACATTTTGCACCATAAAGCATTGCAGATCTCACCACCATCTTGTAGAATTTTTTCCTTTAAGTTTAAGGAATACTTTTCTATCACACAACAAACCCGATGCATTCCACCTCTACCATGAATCATCCAACTTAAATTCTACTAATAATATCCCTACCTATTTCATCATCACTTTGAACAATATATCCAAGATATCTAAAATACGTACTTTTATTAATGAACTAATTGCCTAAAGTCACAATCCTCCCATTAAATCTTATATGATTCATTCATGAGAAAAAAACATATTAACAAGCTCATGCTTAAAAAAGAATAGGAAACTAAAAATAATGATTAAAAGATTAAATGTCCTAGATGGAGTAGAATGATATTCCAGTAAATGCAAATTTTAGTAAAATTTGCAAACACAAAATAATAAGCTGGATCCAACAAGACGAACAAAAATTTTACAATGCTCATCTTACTGCAGCAATTTTTTCCTATCCTGCAAGCGCTGTTTATAGCAAAACGCTAATTTATGGCCCTCTTCTTTGTCTTTCTATTTTTTTAATTAAGACACGCAAAATTCAAACTCAATATTTTTTTTAGGGAATGGGTGTATCTGCCCGCTGCCACTCTAAAGGAAGAGTTTGGCGGCATAATTAATCCATCGAAGAAACCTAGCGAGGCCACCTACTCTCATCGGGTCCAAAGCTAGTGTGGGCCCGATGCCAGTGTGTGGCCTCACTAAGTTTTGCCGATGACCCACACTAGCTTTGGCCCCACTGAAGAGGCGAAGACGTAGTAGAGTGGATTCGAACCCGGGATGGGGGGTTCCCAACTGTGCTCACCCACCAACCACCCTAAATCTCGGTGGGTAAACTCGAGATCTTGAAACTTAAAGATCATGAATTATGACAGCTCAACTCAATTGACCACTCAAATATTAAAGCACACCTGTCATGAATTTAGTTTCCCAGTAACAAATTTGGTCCTCAGACGAGGAATAATCAGTTCTAGCAAATATATGATCCTGAAATCAGTTTCAGCAACACAAGCTTTTTGAGACCCACTACTAAAATACACAGGAATTATTTACATTAGGCTGGAACTTAAGCACAAAGTTTCTATGCACATTCATGGACAATTTAACTAATTTGAAGACAAAAAATTGACATAAACAAGTCATAATTTTGAAAGACCAGATCTGCTCTTCTTATAAATAACAGAAGAAAATTAAATACCTAATGCCTTCAGCAAATTCAGGAAGGAGATGGCTCTGCACCATCATGGAGAGCGCAGCACACAACAGCCTTGTGGTGACCTTGATAGGTTTTTATGGCCTCTCCCATTGACATTGACCATAGTTTGGCAGTGCTATCAGAGGATGCTATATGACAGAAATGCACAAAAAATGTTCCGTATATTTATGAGCATAGTTTCTCATATAAGAAGACTAAAATTATGCATATTCATAATGTAGTAATATCATACCAGTTATTAAGTATGCACCATCAACAGAAAATACACAATCCCAGACCCATCGCTGATGTCCTGAAGATTGTAAGTCTTGATGTGAGCTTGTTAAAAAGAAAATGGGCTCTAGTAATCGTTAAGATGCCCAAGGGTTCTGATGAAAAATAAGGGTGTCAATAAGTGACACGACCTACAAATCTAACCCGAACCCGACCCAAAAAATCTGGGTTCTGGTCCTATTTTGCACCTGTCTATAATTCGAATAGGGTTCAAATCAAACCGATAACTTGGGATCAACCCGAACTGACCTGTGCCTAACCCCTTGTCAGGTTGTCCCGTTGCTCCCGCACCTACGCGCTTGCCTGCTCGGCTACACGTATGCACTCGCAGCACTGTCGTGCAGCTAGTGCTCGCGCAGTCGAGGGTTAGATCGGGTCAACCCGGTAATCCAGTGGGTCGGGTTCGGGTCTGAATTTCTGACCCCTTTACCAAACCGGATCAGGTTCGTGTAAGCTAAATTGGACCGGGTCAATTCAAGATTCAACCCGAATCCGATCCGAATACCCATTTTGACACCCCTAGTGAAAAAGGAACGCTAAGCCGCCTGACACAGAGACCTTGAGACCAGCTTAGCATTCCTTTTGGTAAAACATCTAGATGAGATTTTCTTACCCATCAATACTCTTTCCAAGGTAAATCCATCAACATTCCATATCTTGACTGTGTGATCAGAAGATGCTGTGGCAAGATACCTACGAATAGTTCCCAAAAATCTATAAATAAATTGACAAAACATATGAAGGATGCAAGGCTCTTTCGATTGGAGTTGTCAATTAATTGATTGGCCATACACAGAAAAAAGCACAAGTTTCATTTTTATGCCCAAATGAGATGAAGAAATAGCACAGAAAATTCATACTACCGGTTAGGATCACAGAATTCGGGTGAAAGCAGGCACTTTAAAATGTAGCCATCATGTGCTTGCAACTTGTGTAGGGGCTCAAAGTATGTCATTGTCTACAAAAGATCAAATCATAGAATATAACTACGATATTTTGTGCCTTTCTTCCAAATGCAAATTCAAATTGTTCCTTACCTGTGTCCCCTTCAGTAGCCGCCAGACATAGCATGTTCCACGATTATTGGCAGCAACAACCATGCTGCCATCCCACATCACTGTAAGAGACCTCACAGCAGTATCCACCTCTGGTACCTATAACTCAGCTCAATGAATAGATTTCAACTTTCTCTCATTTTATTCTTTTTATTATTGAAACAAATAAATGTAACATGATATCAGCAAATATGACAAAAGGCGAGTGCTTACTAGTTCACAGCTGCAAGAATTTGCAGTCAAATCCCACACGCGTATATTTCCATTTTGATCCCCAGATATAAGTTCAGTCTGCAGCAAAAAATGCAGCATTCTTCATTCAACAACCAAACGAATTCTAGTAATGATGAAAACTACTGTTGAGATTGTATTGCATATCACATTAATATCCAAGAATATACATATAAAGAGAGAGAGAGAGAGAACACAAAAAATTCAAAATTTTGCAGTGATAGAGTAGTGCAAGCAATTCCTTAGGAGGGTGGGACTAATTATCAGTAGAAGTAATTGTCAGATCTTAATGAAAGAAATTCTATCCCAGAAATTGAATCAAAAGTGTAGTCATCTTAAGTTACGATCTTAATGCTCAGATCAGTAGCAGATCAAATGGTGGAATGAAGTTTCACGGTCCAACCTGATTTGGATGTAGAACCACTGTGTTAACAGCTGCCCGGCTCTCATATTCACGCTGACAGGTTGCTGCCCTGAAAAAAGGGCACAAAGATTAAAAAGTGAAGGGAAACATCTCACATTCAAGTAACAATTAGGGGATTTCCGATTTCGACACATGCCATAAAATCTTCTATATTTACATATTCAACACATACTACTACATCAACAAAACTACGATCAAACCTTGTTTACCGTTAAATTTAATGCAACAAAACTCCAATAACTCACCTTCTGACCCACCAGCCATCTGAAATTTCTAGCGGAGATACAACAAAGATGCTTCCAATTATCATTTTAAAAATTTTACTTGCAGAAATTTTCATTTCCATTACCTGATAGGTTTTAATACTTATCTACAAATGGCAATGGCATAAAAACATGAAGATTCCATCTCCACTGCCTACGACAGTTTTAACTGAGCAATTTTAAGGAAATTACAGAAAAAGTTTCTATAAACAGAATCTAGAAATCATATTGTAAGGTCAACATTTTTCTAGTGTACCCACTGCCACAAGAGGGAAAGTGATAGGAAGTATTTGAGTTCGCAAGTAACCACAAGGGTAATACTTGCGTTCGCAAGCAAACCAATCAAAAATCGGCAAAAACAGTGAACAAAGAGCTGATTTCAAGGCAAGAGTAAAGCGAGAACTTTTGTAGATTGGAGAAGAAACACCAAGGAAACTCTTTGATTCAAATAACAACAAGAAAAACCAAACAAGATACAATTTCCTTCAATTCGAGAGGAGGAAAAACTCTCCACAATCTCTAGTAAAGTTTAGATCCCCATAACAAACCCTTGATCAAAAAAATTCAGCAAATTTCAAGATGAAACCCTAATTCTAACATTAGCAACTAATTAAAGCCAAAAAAGAAATACAAAATCCCTAAACAACCCTCCTATTCAAAATTTTCCTCCTAAAACTTGATTTAATGCATGCTAAGCCCCACAGGGCTTCCACCCCCTCCTTTCTTTTGGCTCCGCGTGGAGTAAAACAGGACCAGTCTAGGTTGGACCGGTCCAGCCGGCCCAGGGGCCTAACAATACTCCCCTCCCAAAGACTCACCTTGTCCTCAAGGTGAAATGAGGGGAATTGATCTTTCATTATTTCAAATGGCTCCCAAGCAGCATCATAGTCGGGAAGGCCTCTCCATCTAATTAGCACTTTGTTTCCATCTTTATCTGATCTCACTCTATAAGCTCCAGTGGTTCTAAAACTACTTCCAAATCCTCAGTCAGTGTAGCTAGGAATTCTACACTAACTGCATGCTCCCCTAGAGCTCTCCTCAACTAGGACACATGGAAAACTGGGTGTATGGTGGCTGATGGTGGTAACTTCAATCGGTATGCCACTGCTCTAATCATGTCCATCACCTCATAAGGGCCGAAGTATCTCAGTGCCAGCTTCTCGTTCCCCCTTCTAGCAACTGTCCTTTGCCTGTAGGGGCATAGTTTTAGGAACACCTCTCCCACTTCAATTGCATGTCCCTCCTATGTGAATCCACTAATTTTTTCATGACTTGTTTGTGCCCTTATCAAATGTTTCTTCAACTCTTACAACACCTTGTCCCTTTTTTACAAGTACTGCTCAACTGAAGAAACTGGTGTGCTTCCCCTCCCATAGTGCACTAGGTGTGGGGAGTTCCTGCCATACATCACTTTGAAAGGAGTCATTTGAGAAGTAGAATGGTATGATGTATTGTACAAATAGTCGGCCCAAGGTAACCACTTCGTCCACATCCGCGGTGTTTCAGAAGCAAAACACCTTAAATAAGTTTTCAAGCTCTGGTTCACCACCTCTATTTGTCCGTTTGTCTGTGGATGATAGGCGGCACTTCTCTTGAGAACAGTGCCCTGCATCCTGAAAAGCTCTCTCCAAAACTGGCTAAGGAACACTTTGTCTCTACCAGACACAATTGATTCAGAAATCCCATGTAATCTAACGACTTCGCTGATAAATGCGTCCGCCACTGATATTGCAGTGTAAGGATGTCGTAGGAGAATAAAGTGGGCATACTTACTAAGTCGGTCCACCACTACTAAAATGACTGTGAATCCCTCTGAGCGGGGCAAGTCGTCAATGAAGTCCACGGACACTTCCTCCCAACTCTGTTTGGAAGTGCTAATGGTTGGAGTAACCCTCCTGGTGCCATTGCCATATTTTATTCTTCTGGCACATCTCACACCTTGCACCATATCCTCAACATCCTTATACATCCCCTTCCAGTAGAGCTTCGATGCCAGCCTTCTATACATCTTCTGCACTCATGAATGTCCCCCAACTGCACTGCCGTGAAATTCCTGTAATAAGTGAGGAATGTGTACTGATGTTCTTGGCATCACAAACCTCCCATGATGTAACAACCTCTCCCCCTCCAGATAGTACCCTGAATGGCTACTACTATCCCTCTTCAAGTCTTCCTTGATCTTTTTCAACTCTTAATTCTACATGCTTTCTTTCTTGATGGCCCCCCAGTTAACCATCAGTGGTATTGAAACTGCCAACTCCTGAAGTTCCCCAGCACATCTGGATAAGGCGTCAGCCGCCTTATTTTCCACCCCTGGCCAGTACTGGATCTCAAAATCATAACCTAAAAGCTTTGACAGCCACCTCTGATGTTCCTCGGTCACCATCCTTTGCTCCAATAGGCATTTCAAACTCCTCTGATCCGTACGAACAATGAAATGCCTACCCAAAAGATAAGGGCGCCATTTCTGAATGGCCAAGAAGATGGTCATCAGCTCTCTCTCTTGTATACTGAATTCAATCGAGCCTTGGTCGATAGCACCTGACTGAACTAGGCTATAGGTCTGTGATTCTGCATCAACACTGCTCCCAAGCCATACCCTGATGCATCAGTCTACACTATAAAGACCTGGCTGAAATCTGGAAGAGCTAACACTGGGACCGTTGTCATGGCTTTCTTCAACCTCTCAAAAGCCTAAGTTGCTGCATCTCCCCACAAAAATTGTCCTTCTTCAGTTGCTCAGTCAAAAGCCAAGTGATGGTATTGTAGCCCTTCACAAATCTCCTGTAGTAACCAGTAAATCCTAGGAAACCCCTCAACTCCCTTATGTTCCTAGGCATTAGCCTTTTCTGCATTGCCTCAATCTTTGATTGGTCGGCCGCCACTCCCTCTTGAGACACTACATGTCCCAAATATTCCACCCTAGACTGGGCGAAGCTGCACTTATTTAGGTTAGCTTTCAGCTGATGTGCCTGTAGAATCTTAAAAACCTCCTTCAAGTGCTCCAAGTGCACCTCTATTTGGTTGTATACCAAAATGTTATAAAAAAAGACCAACACAAACTTCCTGAGATACTGTCGGAACACTCTGTTCATCAAAGACTGAAAAGTAGCAGGGGTTAGTGAGCCCAAATAGCATCACCAAGAACTCATAGTGCCCCTTATGCGTTCTGAAAGCCATCTTCTGAATATCCTCCTTCATTCTGATTTGGTTCATCTTGGAAAACATGACTGATCCGTGCAGCTCATCTAATAACTCGTCGATCATCGGAATGAGAAATTTATCCCATACTGTCTCCTTATTCAAAGCCATGTAATGCACGCAAAACCTCCAACTCCCATCCTTCTTTTTGACTAGTAAGGCTGGGCTAGAGAAAGGACTCACACTGGGTCTGACGATCCCTGTCTCAAACATCTCTCTAATCAGCTTCTCAATTTCATCTTTCTGAATCTGGGGGTAGCGGTAAGGTCGAACACTAATAAATGACACCCCATCCTTCAGAAGGATTGCATGCTCTTGTTCTCTAGGTGGTAGTAAGCCCTGAGATGGCTGGAACACCTCCCTGAACTGTTGTACAAGCGGCTGCACCACCAGTGGAATGTCTCCCTCTTCTCCCACACTGACCCTCTCCAAGCATTGCAGCTCCATCAAATATCCACCTCCCACATCCTGTATGGATCTGATCATGGATTTGAGAGATACTCCTGCCCTCGACAGCCTTGCATCACCTTGTATCACCATCCTCTATCCTTCCACCATCAATTAAATCCTCAGAGCGCCCCAGTTGACCTTGGTCTCCCCCAAAGTTTGCAACAATTACATCCCCAGGATGACATTGGTACTTCCCAATTCTAAGGGAGAAAAATCCTCCCTCACCTGTAGCCCTTGACTAGTCAACACCACTCCCCTGCACACTCCTCTCCTCAACTCCACTTTTCCCGTGCCCATCATCACTCCATATCCTCCCGTGTTCACTAATTTCACCCCAAACAGATTTACAATCTGGTTAGAGATGAAATTATGGATAGCCCCACTATTGATCAGCACCACTACCTCCTGACCCCCTATTTCTCCTCTCACCTTCATGGCGTGATTTGGTGTGAATCCCACCACAGAGTTTAGAGAGACTTCAACTATATCGAGATGTAACTTCTCTTATTCCTCCTCCACTATCCCGCTCTCACCTCCCTCAGTTTCCTCGTCATCGCAGATGATGAGATCCTGAAGAGTTCGGTCACCTATGCCTTAGCATGTACTTCTCATCGCACCTGAAACACAACTCCTTAGCCCGCTTCTCCTAGATCTCTTTCTCAGTTAGTTTCTTAAATTTTCCTCCAGTCCTCTCCTTTGGTGCCTCTCGTGAACCCCCCGGTGTAGCTCCTTTGGGAGCTAGGAAAGTAGTAGTCATCCTGTAGGATCCCCTGGAGCTACTGCCTTGAGCCCCCCCTCTCCAGCTGCTTCTGGTCCTCAGCCAGCTGCACCAATCTAACAGCTGCTCTGATATCCGGTTTGAGCCCCTTCATGAAGTTCCCTTCAAGCACGATCTCAGATAGACGATCCAACCTGATCGCTAGGTACTCAAACCGATCACGGTACTCTGCCACTGTCCCTTCCTGCGTCCATGCAAAAAATTTCTCATAAAAGTCTCCTCCCCTACCGGTTCGGAAATGTTCCAATAAGCACTCCTTGAACTCTCTCCAACTCCTGATGGGTTTCCTCATGTGCCTCCATTGGTACCAAGCCAGTGCCTTTCCCTCCAAGCATAGTCCTGCCGCCGTTAGCTTCT